CCGGTCGTGTTGTGACGGTGTCCCGGTCATGTTTTGATGGTGTCCCGGTCCTGTTGCGATGATGTTTTGGCGGTGTGCCGGTTATGTTTTGATGGTGTCCGGGTCATGTGACGGTGTCCCGGTCATGTTGTGATGGTGTCCTGGTCATCTTGTGATGGTTTTCCCGTCATGTCATGTTGGTGTCCCGGTCACCTTGTGATGGTGTCCCGGTCATGTTGTGATTGTGTCCCAGTCATGTTGTGACGGTGTCCCAGTCATGTTGTGATGGTGTCTCCCGGTCACGTTTTGATGGTGTCCCGGTCACCTTGTGATGGTGTCCCGGTTATGTTGCGATGGTGTCACAATCGTGTTGCGACGGTGTCTCGGTCATGTTTTGATGGTGCCCTGGTCATTTTGTGATGGTGTCCCGGTTATGTGATGATGGTGTCCAAGGAAGAGATGGTCGATGTGTTGAAAACAGCAGCTGTTTCGAGATTTTTCTTTTTGTCCCGGTTTGTATCTTGCTATTGTGGTCTCCAGCTGGGCTAATTTGTTTGTTTGTTTGTAGGTTCTTTCCTTTTTTTTGACCCCTTAGCGGCTTGTTCTGGGTTCCTTACAAAGATCCCACCAGAGCCTACCGGCGGACCAAAGAATGCTTTGAACATTTTTGATTGCACGTGTCCGGTGTAAAGGAACATGATTCAGTAGGACTTCCAACAATCTTGAGGGATGAGCGTGGTCTTCTAGACATCACGCTGCTTATATGTACATATACAGTATATATATATATACATACACACACACACACCCTAACAACCCACCCGAAAGTAGGCTTCACCGAGTGCCTTGGTCTCTTCCATCGCCACCCGACCAGGTGCCTATGCTGCCAAGTGTGCAGAAGCTGCTGCCCCAGACAGAAAACCATGGAAGAGCAGGAAAGAACTTGGAGTTGCACTGATCTGAATCGACTGGAGTTGCTTGAACTTCAAGTTCTCTTTGGTTTCTACTAAGCACTGTGACTTAAGGCTTCCTTCCGAAGCCTTTCAGTTCTAAGGCCAGGTCTCTTCCATACACTTCCCCACACAGGCCTTGCATTTTGAGCTTCAGAGATGGCTTGATTTTGAGAGCTTTGCTACTTCTGCATGGTTCTTTGTGGCTCACATTTTTGACTTCTCAGGGGTATTGACCTCGAGGAATGTGAAGCTGCCACTTCTGCACTTTGGCTGAAGGGTGTGGGTCAACGTCGTGAGCGCTCCATCCGAGTTCTTTACTTGAGCAATGCGTGTCAAGAAGCAGTCCGTCAAGCATGTGAGAAGCAGTCCTGGCCGGTCCTAGCATTGTCAAGACCAATTTGGTGTCCAACGAATCTTCAAAGATCAGTGCTCGACACCTGAGGCATGACAGCCAACTGTCTGCCACAGATGCGCTGCTTGCAGCAGCCACTGCCGCCAGTGGGGAGCCTCTTCCACCCGCTCACCGGAGGGGTTCCCCTCGTGGGCCTCCCAGGTCGATCGACTGGATCTTTACATCCTTGGTCGAGCAATAGGCCACCGGATCCATGGTTGAGAACAGTATTGATATGTCTTGACTGACATGTGTTGAGTGACTGACATGTGCTTTTGAGATGTAGACTGACAGGTTTCAGATGTGCAAATCTGAGTCAGAGCAGCTTCTCCCAAGGAGACGCAAGGTCGGGGAGGCCCAATGTGCAAATCTTTTGAGGCTAACATTGTCTCGACATATCCATCCTGACAGCTTGAAGTCCATAATTTCCTGACAGCTTGGTCGGTACATCCACAGGGCGCAAAGGATTCGTGTATTGCTATCTTGCTATGCTGATTTTTGACCAGCCGTACCAGCCGTTGAGAGCGAATCCAGCCGCCCCCCCGTGTGTTGGCTGAGGCTTGCAACCGACTTTTGCAGAGGCCTGAAGGGCTGGAAACCTCACCATGCTGCAACGGGTTGCCTTCTCCGACTAGATAGGCAGAGTAGGCAACTTGTTTGGCCTGTGGCACACTGGTGGCCAAATGCCCTGAATGTTGGCAACTGTAGCGAATCGGTTTCTGACTGAAGTCTATCATTTGATGGGCACTGACTGCGATTGACCCTGTCTTTCTTTACCGTGGCAATTCATTTTGTAGTGGCTGAAACAAAACCAGTGCACGACTTGTTTTTTAGTAGGGGCCTTGACCCACTCCTGATCTTCCCGCACTTGTATAGATGGTTGCAAAGCCAGATTCAGCTAACTTTATGCAAGATCGATTTTGGATTACTTGAATAAACCACTGTACTAAACAGGCCAGCAAATCGCAACTGGTACTTCACCACGTCGCTCTTGCTCTTCTTCTTCTTCTTCTCCGTGTGCTTTCAAAACTAGTGGGATAAGGTCAGGGAGTCTTTACAATTTGAGCTATTGAAGATGTATGAGGCGCTATGATGCTCTTTTAGATTGACAATGCACTTGCTTTGGTATAGATAATAGCCTTTTCAAACTGTTGTTCTTATGTATTTTTGATATCTCACATTTGGGTGCATTGGAAACAGACATCGGACATGCATGGAAATCCCAAACTGCTATTTCTCTGTTGGTGTGTGTGTTTTGTAGAGGCAAGTTCTTTGACCATGTGTTGCGGAATGCGTGCACAGAGAGGTTTGGCATGAGCCATTTCATAGATTTTTGTATTGAATTAGATTGAATGATTGGCTTGGAGCGCAACTCAATGGGTTCAGTTACCTTCTCACAATCAATTTGATCGCAATTAGCGGGTCCCCCAGCCGCTGGAGTTGGGATCCAACAGAAGCAAAAGGTAGGTACCGTGTTGGTGATCATTCGGGGTGCTTTGGTGTCCGTTTTCAAGGGAAGCAAAAAGTGACTAAAGGGTGATTAGGGATGTTCTTCCAAGAACACTTGGTTTGATTGTCTAGTGGGGCAGTGGGCTCTTCCTTGAAAATGGTGGGATCAACGAGTCGAACTTCAGCTTTGCCGCACCAGGCTCTCTCTCTCCGATTTCGGGAGTGCTGAGGAGTCCCCGACGCGACAAAGAGAATAGCTGCGCGTTGATAGATATGATAGAATATATCTAAAACCACCTCAGATGTCTAAAAGTGGAAAGACGAATCAATTGAAGCTTTTTTTTTTTTAATCTCTCTCTCTCTATAACATCGGACTTGAGAGTTCCAGTCGGTCATGCAGATTTCTCCGAAGTTTTTGTCCTCCAGTCGGTCGTAGGTCGTCTCCACACGTCGAGGTCTCGGTTGTCGGTCGTTGCGGTCTCTGTGTTGGCAGGATCTGAAGAGCACCAGAGGTACATTTGGCGCACATCGATTCTTGGCACTGGGCAAAATGGTTGGCATGGAAAGTATTATTTTTTTTGTGTTATATATATATACAATATATATATATATGTTTTGTTTTTTCAAGCCTGCTCCCCCTACCTACTTAATTATGTAAGCAGGCGCCCAGTGAATTAAGTACGGGTAGCTTAAGTAGCTACTACCTATGGACGCAGGATAGCTCACGCTTCTTCAAGGAAGCTCCTTAGGGCGGCGGGAGGGAGCTTCCTTGAAGAAGCGCTCGCACTATGCATTTTGTTCCTAGATCTTAAGGGAGACATAAGTTCTCGACTCCCTTGTGGCACGGAAAGCTGGGCTCGTCCACACGAAGCTTTGAATGAGAGTGCCTCGCTTGCCAGACCAAGGTGTTGGCATGAGTCCCGCTCGCAGGAAGGAGTGACATGGGCTTTTGGAGCCTTGCAACTCTTGTAATTCGTGCATCAAGGTACAGCACTTGAATCAAAAGGGTTGACCATATCAATACTTCATATCTTGAGGAGCGCTCAAGGAAGGATTCTGCCGAGGAGTTCTGCTTGTACAGCTTGCGCAAAACTTTCTATTATATATATATATATACACATGTAGTGTTTCATTTTCTAAACTCTAAGCCCAAGTTTATTTATATTTTTTGGAAATAGAATGACTCATCATGATCCAGGAACATGCAGCTCTCTTTGAGATCGCACGGACTGCGCATCAGATCTGCGCAGCCCTCAGATTCCCGAAGCTTACTCAGGATCTGTATGTGGAGTAGAGGAAGCGAGAGTCAAGGGGTTTGGCCTTCAATATTGCAACCAATGTAAGGCCTGAAGCTCACAGAGAAGAGGACGGCAGTTTGTGTTTCAACGTGTGCTGTGCATGACCATGGAACATGACATCTAGCTCAGCCGGGTCTCACTTGGCCCGAAGAGCCACCAAGCCGCATCTCCGCGACATCCTTAACTTCATGGCGACCCATCTCCGCTTGGGCTTGGGACCTTTGGCGCTTGCCGCCAGCGCTGGCTTGGTCAATGCCGCGGAGTATCGTCTTCGACCTCTACAAGTGCAGACTCACCCAAAGACCACCATCTATGTCACTGGCTTTGGACCCTTCATGGGTGTGGAGCAGAATCCAACCTCGACGCTCTGTGAGACTTTGCAGAAATACGTGCGTGATGGTGTTGTACCGAAAGGCGTGGACCAGAAGCTCTTGAAAGAGTTTGATGCCTCTGGGATTCTCCTGGAAGGCTTAAAGGTCTTGGAGGTTGCAGCTGAGTCTTGCCGTTCTGAAGTGCCACAGATCATAAGCTTTTTGAAGGAAAAGGGGAAAGCATCTGGGCAGGCTGTGATCCTGCATCTTGGGGTAGCTTCCAACAGGGATCACATCAGTTTGGAGTGCAGAGGAGTAAATGAGGCCACTTTCCGAGTCCCTGACGTGAGGGGATTCCAATGCTGTGCTGAACCGGTGGTGGCGAACTCGCCTCCCGTGATCTTTTCGTCCCTGCGTTTGCCTGAAATCCTCGCGGAGTTGCACGATAGAGGTGTCAAGTCTGAAATTTCCACGGACGCAGGGCGCTTTCTTTGCAACTATGTCTTCTTCCAATCTCTCAACGCTGCAAGACCCTTCGAGATTCCTGTGCTCTTTGTGCACGTCCCACTGTTCAAAGATATGGATCAAGCAACCCAGGCATCCAAGGAGTGTAGATCAATGCTTTGTTTGTGAGATTCTTCAGTTGTTCATCAGAAAAACAAGAAGAAGAGGTGTGCATGGTCACTGTTAGTTGTCACCGGTGGTTGCGCTTACTGCTTCGCCGCTGTGCCCGCCGTGCTGCAGCGCCCAGGTGGTTGCGCTGCTCTGCCTTTTCATCGCCATTGCCCGACAGCTCCAAGATGCTCCACCGTCCATACCGCCTCCTTCTGCACGGCCCTTGGGATGAGCCAGGTGGGCAGGTGTGATGTGAGCTGATGTAAGCAGATGTGACCTGATGTGAAGGTGAAAACCACAATGGTACCACTTCTTGAGTTGGTAGATTTTGCTTGTTGATTGTAACTCTGCAGTTCAACGACTTCTCCCATGTGTGATTTCAGGTGAACATCAGAATGCGAGAAGCCATCCGAGAACAAGATGGAATCGCATGGTGTCCATCAGCCTTGACGTGGAGAAGAGTGCGTGTAAGCCCGTCGATCCTGAGTTGCTGACCGCGAACCGCGCATATTCAACCTAGCTGTGGACGAGACAAGCAGATCTGATTGAGCCAAATCATCTTGCACTTTTTTGCTGGGTTTCTTTCCACCCCTTCCTTCCGGAGGATATTGACGTGAGAAAAGAGCATCATTTCTCTCCGGACTTGTAACGTTGCAACTGACTTGTTGAAGAGGCCAGACGAGAAATCCCCACGCAGGACAGCTCAGAAACGCACATTTCGTGGGATCTATGTGATACAATGTATCAATGTACCAAGACCTGCTTTCTACGCTTTGATCCCGATCCGTTGATGGCTAAGGTCCTGGGAAGGCGCGATGACGGGGTGATGGAGTGAAGGACTATATAATATATAAAACTGTTGTGTGGCCTAAGAGCTAGTCCACAGTAAAGATTTCATTGGGTAGCGCAAGGAAACACTGTAGCTGCAGATGCACTTCCACAGTGATGTTCATGTCATGTCGTATCCGCGTGTGATGTTGTATTGATCTGAGACGCTTTCAATGCAATTGGCTTGAACAATTTTTTGGTTTGACAGTCTTCACCATGATGGGCTGACGCACAGAATAGGGATAGATGTTTGTTTCAATGGCTTTCCTGGCAGGGGAAGGCGTCCAGGAAAAGTTACCAAAAGAAGAAGAGTAAAGAGAAGGAGAGACCATGCACTTTGGCAGACTGTATATCTGACTGATATGTGTGCTCATGGTTCCTCCTCATTGAGCGGGACCTTTCACCTGCTTCTTTGACACGGCGAAGTCCAGAGTCTTGTTGGGAGAAGACTTGATTTTTGCAAGCAGCTTCTGAGGATGACAATGCAAGACGACTCTCAAAAAGTTATTTTGTCCAATCACTGGACCCAAGAATATATATATATAGAACATGGCAGCAAGGGCTCCAGGACCACCCAGCTGAGCCATCTTCTGGTTCCAAAGGAGGCGGAAATGCAAAAGGCCATGGAAGCTTGGTCCAGAGCCACACTGGCGAGTGTCCCCGAGGCAGGAAGATCGTTTTGTGTGTTTTGTGTGTCATGCTGGGCCTGGAAGCCCCACTTCTGGGGTGGGGTCTTGACGGAAGGCTGTGAACATGGGCAAATTCTAGGGCTTTTGTTGCACCAAGTGCAAAAGTGCAGGGCGGTGGGTGCTGACAGATCCAGGGTACCACTGCTATTGGACGCTTGGTAATTAGAACTTTGATTGGAATGTTTGACATTGCCGCAATTCACTAGACGATGTTTTCCTTGTTCATCATCACGCGGGTTCAATCCATTGTGATGCTGGCCACCGCGATCGACGATAGAGTTCCATCTTAAAAAAGCATGCCGACGGGTAGCAAGGTCCACATGGGTTTCAACATTATTGTCGATAGGGTTCCTCAACGCGAAAATACTCCTAATGCTGCCAAGAGCAACGTTAAAGATGTCGCCCGATTCGCTGCAGTGTGCAGGCAGATGCCAAAACAAAGAGTGCAGCAGAGACAAGGATGAGGGAGTTGGAGGATGAGATGAAGGAGGAGTGGCCAGGGCAGCATGGCCATGTCAAGAAAGCTTGAATCATGATACAGAATAGTACAGACTGACAGGCCAAGAAAATACACAGCCTCCCTTCAGAGCATCTTTTTTGTTTTTCAGAATCCCATGCGTACATCCCGGCGTGCTTGGGGCCAAGACGGCATTGAAGGATCGTTTGTATGTCCGGAATTTGAACATGGGGTGCATCCCGGATGCCTCCTGCCTCCACTCTGTAGTTTGTTCGACTCCCAAAGCCTCAGGAGTCAGAAGACGAACCTTATGCCTGGACCTTTGACCGGCACGCTTGGCGTAGATGTTGGAAGTCCAAGTGTCACGGGATGGCGCACTCCTTCAAAGTCGTTTCAACATGTGCCTATCCTAAATCTTTCGTGATGCTACTTGCGCACCCTCTTGAACTATGATTCCTCCGCATATCGACAAGCTGCCTTGCACATAGCGACAGCAACTGCGAAAGTTTAAGCAGAATCCGAAGCGCTGTAAAGGACTGTTCGATTCGATCACTGCCCTTTCTGAGACTCCAGTAACTTCACCTTTGGCTTCCAGGTGCTGTGAGGGTGGAGAGTGGGGGGAACTGTTCTTGTTTCATTGATGTATATTGCTGTTTGTTCCTTCAAAAGTGTTGACATCTTCCTATCGGCAACCAGATTTTTTTTTCCGAGTTTTTTACCTTTTTTTGGTGGTTCACCTGCGCGAAGATAGGGTCAGTTTTGATCGGCAGATCATGGTCAGTTTCTTGCAACAAAACGACGTCTGCAGTGCTTTGAGGCAATTTGGGGAAGAATTTGCTGGCCTGGAGACCCTGTGAGCGAAGCGTCTCGTTTTGTCGTTTCGTTTGGATGATCGGTGAGCGAAGCTGAGGTTCTGGGGAAAGCTCGCCCAAGTCAGGCCAGCCATCCATCATGCTTGTGTGGCTCGTGGAGGCAATTTTTGTTGGAACATAGGTTGAGCAGTATCTCTACTCTACCATTTTCAAAGCCAGGATACTACCGTAGAACTGGATAGAAGCTGATTAGCAGTACAGTATATAGAGAGTCTTATATAGATAGCACTTACACTTCTTAGCATATATATAGACATTAATAGTAGGCAATCCACGGCAACATCCTACTTTCTTGGTATTCCAAGGGTCAGAGTCAAGAGTTGCAGAATGTGATCGTTGGGAACCAGGTGATGTCCGCTCACTTTTGTTTGTTTGACCGTCTGACAAGTACATGTCAACATCTTCTGAATGGTCTAGTCTTCGTATTTTGGGACACCCATGAGGCAAATATTCTCCGGTTACTTGAACCTTGGGCTTTTTCAACCTGTCTCCACCTATGGAAAAGGAGCAGCAGATGGGTTTTCGCGCCTGCTGTCGGAGAATGGGGAAAAGATGCTCTCCCGGCAGTGTTTGGTTCCTTCAGGTAGTAAGAAGCGTGTGACACGGACTACTTCAATGCGGTCAACGGTCGCGGAACCTTGGCAGCGTTTCGCACCGCTCTTGGAGCGAGCGGCTCGGGTCGGCTCAGTTCGTACGGTCTCCGGTGCGCCAAGGGCCGCAACGATGAGTCCTATGGGCTTCCCAACTTGCAAGACCGTTTGGAACTCGGACCTTCCTGATTGACCATTCGCCCTGCTGTTATAGTGAATGGCCATGGTGTGGAAAGGCCTGGACCAGATTCAGAACACGTACTTTGGCAAGGGTGATCTCATGGATGAGGCCTGATAAGCGATATGGTTGAGCGCATCAACGGCTCAGCTTCTTCAGACAGCTTGTTCAAGCATTTCTTCAGTTGGCCAAAGAAGCATGTCAGTCACAAGACAGACGCTTCTTCCCAGATGCTGTTCGCATGCAGTGTATTGTACAAGTGAGCTGTGTGTTGTATGGTGGGATGTGGAATAAATGGTCCAAGCATGGGAAGGTTGTGTTTTTGGACCCGAACTCTAAACTACTAGGTCTTAGGTCATTCTTAGTTGTCTTCTTGCTAAACTTGCCAGACTTCTTTCCTTTACGTCGAGCAGGCTACTGTCCAGCGCATGCGGACTGTCTTTAACCGCTTCCGCAATGCCTCCGGAAATGAGATCATGCAGGCAGGGCTACAAGTCTGATGACCATCATGGCACGTGTGTGACAGAAAGGAAATGGAAAAGCTAATGGTCAATAGTTTCTGAGGTGGCGTTCGAGACGTGTTTGTGCTTACAGGATGACTTGCCCAGCGCTGTGGAGTTCTTGGGATATGTGGTCTTGCAACGCAGCCGGCCGCGCTTTTTTTGAAGGGTTCAGAAGACCAAAAACCACACAGCGCGATGGCAGCAATACCGGTCCTGGCACATGTGCTCTTCGTGAGGTCACTTCCGAAGAGGCACTCGAACAAGTGGCGAAACAAGTCACGTTAGGGTCGCCCAGAAACAAATATCATCAAATACCAAAGTCACCCAGTGTTAAGTTCGACTAGAACAGACATTGGGGGGCCCTATGCTCTTAGTTTCATTGATATGCATTCGCTCGGAAACCCTTCACGCAAGCTGCAGTTGTTGCTGTTACTTGCTGTTCTACCTGCTGTCGAGAGATTGATTTGGCAGAAGACTATGCTACACATCCGGCATTGCCAATAACCACTAGCAATGCCCGAGGTCATTCAAGGAGATGGATTTCAATGAGTTTCTCGAGTTTGTGGAAAAGTACAATGCTCAGCATTGTTTGGCACAAAAAAGAGATCGCGCGAACCTGTGGTGTATAAAGCAACACCAATTTTTGCCTATGAGCTTTGGGAAGAAGAAACACCAAACCATGATCAAACATCAGCATCTTTGGCATCTTTGGATCTTCGAAACACGAAGCTGAGGGAGTCGCCGTCGCCAGGTACAGTCGCCAGCAATTTGGGCGCTACGAGACCTTGTTCCATGAGTTTGATGAAGATGGCTCGCCGGGCTGCGTAGAGCGCGCCGAGCTGCGTAGAACGCGCTGAGCTTCTGACCGTGCCGAGCGTGTTTTTCTGACTTTTGCGGGGACGTGTTTTCATCAAGGAAGACGTTAGGACAGCTAGTGCCGAGTTAGGGCAAACCTCTGTGAAAGGCACTCCACCAAAGGCAAGAATGGAACCAAAGAAGTGCGAATAGAGATTCGGTTTGCATTACATCATATGTATTATATAGTATGTTGCATTCCCCACTCATGTACCATGTACCGTGCGAGGCAGCGGAGAGATTAACGTAAGTGAGCTGAGGAAGCGCGCGCCCTAGTTGTTCTTTAAGGCAAAGGACACATCAGCCATGTCTATTTCAGGGGCAGAGACTTGCTTCGAGTTCTTCACACTTTGTTTGTATAGTCTAGAGCACAGCACCTTTGCGCCGGGAAGGCAACTTTCTAGGTATCCAACTATGTAGCATAAACGCTGGCCTTTCAGGCGAAGACAAACCAGTGGTAGATACTGCCAGCCTGAGGCAAGGCTGTCCTTGACATTCTGAGGCTACTTCTAAGCATTGGCTTCGTGGTGGTAAGACAAATGATCGAAGAGGCAACTCCGGACTGGATACTGGTTGTGCATACTAACCGACCTGCGCTACACAGCACTTAAAGCTGAGCACTTTCCTCAAAGTGATGCAAATGCAAGTTGGAGAACATAAAGTGAAGTTTCCACCAGACCAATCATACGAGGGCTTCCTTGAAGCTTGCTTGAAGAAGCTTGAGGAGAAAGTGAGTCCTATAGGTAGTAGCTGCAGTGGCGACTTGTTAGCCACTACTTGGCCCCCACTGCTAGCTACTTCGAAGCTCCACACTTACGGCCTACCTGGCTTTCACTTTCCAGTGACTTGACTACCAAGGATAGCATGTCAGTGGAATCTACTCAACACGTTCAGAGAACACACATGGGACTGGGTCGACTTCCATGATGCACGTCGACGTTCGACTGTACCATCCACCGTGTGTTTGCACTCAATCAACTTCTCTTCTCTTGGTTTGTTCTAACAGTCTGTCAGTTCTTTCATGCCTTTTGTACTCAAGTGTTGGAATGCTCCAACATCACATCGGACTTCTCGAAAGGCCTTGGATGTGGTGGATAGTGATGGGAATGGGCAACTGAGCCTTGGAGCAGTTTAAGTTTAGTCTTAGCTTCCAGTTCTATGCTGCAGTCTGGACTTTTTCTTTCTGATCAGCAGCAACTTGAGTTTTGCTTTTATGTATATACTGTGTATACTTCACTGTTTCTGGAGCTGCCTTTTGATGGACAAGAGTGGTCCATGAGGAATTTCGAAGAGTTCATCTACTTCCTAACAGCATTGGTCTCAGTGTTGGCCAGCACTCTCAATGTATACCACCACTTTAACCACTTGCACCTGCAATGTTCCAAGAAAATGATGATGTAGTATTGCTGTTGTGGTGCCCAAGCAAAGACAGCTTATGGTCACGAGCCATGCGAGAGCCTCATGCAGGTCTACCAACACACAGAGGGCTTCACGAAGGACGAGGATGGGGAAGCGTTGCTTGAACAGGAGATACAGCAAAGGTGTTTTTTTCCATGGTTCTGTCACCAAACGTGTCAAGAAAAGGTGACGGAACCATAGAGGGCCTTTTATTATCATTTGGTTGATGAATAGAGGGGATACCTCCAAGATCCTCCAAGTGTACAACCGTTTGGAAACGTCGCTCATATGGCACTGACTCCTCTATGATTCGTTGGACATCGACAGAACCAGCCATTTTGCTGCTGCAACAATCAGCGAATGTTGGTGAACGGGTGCCATCTGTCAGGTGAAGCGAATGCACGATGTTTACAAGGGCTTCGTGGCGGAGTCTGTGAAGTTGAAGATGGGGCCCGCCGGCTGAAACAACGAGCTTCACTCGGTTGTGCGGCTGTTGCTTTGCTCTATTTTGGCAAGTGGGATTGAGGAAGTCTATTATACCCGTTCATCCGAACAAGTAGTCACAGCAAACACGATGTATTTTGGCATTTTTGACGGGTTTGGGGATATGATATGATATCCGCCTAGATCGGCTGGGAGCAGTAGGTCTTTTCTTCGATGTGAAGACCTTGCCGATGCTTTGGTACGAAGCCCAGCTGGCCTTTCTAAAGCCTTTCAGCAATGGCCTGGAGAGGAGCGCTGAATGTTATCTAGATTGAGTATTCATGGATTTTTTCTAGCATCTCAAACTCTAGGTATATAAGTTAACGAGGCTTTCTGCCGACCCTCGGACTCTTCCCACTGCCGGTGTTGCTGGTGAGGTGAATTGTTTGTGACTGAGGTGGCCGTTTTTGGCCTTCATGCCGAACCCCATGCAGTACGCGTGGTCCTCAGAGCCATTGGCAACGTGGGCTCAAAACAACGGCTCACTTCTTGTGGCGAGTTGCGCCTGAGGCATTGGGCATAAGCTATGCAACAATTCGAACGGTGGCAAAAGGACGTGGGGCTGATTGAAGTAGGGCCGAAGATGGAGAGAGTACACTGTTTCTGATGGTTGAGCCGCATGTTTTGCAGGAATACAAGTGCCAGTGATGGTGGCATCCTGAGTTGTACAATGTCACTCCGAAATGCAGCTATGTTATAGAAGCATATCGGTGAGCATAGCACTCTTGCCAATTTGAGAACACAATTGTTCCCAATGACATACTGCATTGTGCATTTGGTTGAAAGCAAGCTTGCAGCAAGGCTTAGCTTTCCATGAGTTCTTGATCTTTGCCCGTAGTGTGCGGCTAGCCGAGCAGGCCTGAACTTTGGACAACAAAAGAATCCGCTAGACTGGATAGACACATGGTGTCAAGATGTGTTGAGTCACCAGGCTCTCTACAAGAAGGAGTTCCACAGATTTGACCAGGCAGGTGTTCCACAGGTTCTGTGCTTTGCAAAGGGGCGACCTTGTGGGAAGTCGGAGACCTCGGCATCTCGTGTGGCTTGGCCGCCACAGACCGCTGATCCAGGATGGCAGTGGCAACATCAATGCATCGGAGCTCCGGAACGTGCTGCTGAGCTCCGAGTGAAAGATGTTACACGAACGGCCAAGTAGAGATCATCTAGGCTTCTGCAACAGACACTTTTCTTCAACAGGACGTTTGTTGCATGCTGTTTCGAGATATTTCTAGATATACAATTCCAAAGGATAATTACTGTACCTGAAATTGGATCAATTTCCCCCTGTCTCCCTCCCATTTCCAAAATTCTCATTTGCAAACACCAATATGAAAAATCTAACGGTATATATGCGGCACATTGGAGTAAAGTTAAGGGCCAAGCCCGTTGCGAGCCCATATTTTTTGTTTGTTCTTTTTTGTATTCCTGAATCAATGTCTGCAGCCCACTTCTTGAGCTCCGGACCAAGCGGTTGACTGAGGCAAGCTTTGGGATACCGGCCGATGCGTGTCGTGATCCAAGAAGTTTTGCAGGAGGCTGGGACGCTTTCAAAAAAAACAAGGATCATTTTTATTGTCACCTGTCATTCCTTGTCCTGTGAAGCTTCCGGAAAACTGAGTGGATGTCAAGAATCTGACATTTCAATTCTGAATGCTCTCAAGACATGTGTCGCAGTTATTGATTCTCAAGTGCTAGTTTTGATCGCCAGGTGGACTTCGAGCAAGATGCTGAACTAGACTTTGAGGACCGGATCGTGACGGTCAAAGCTGGGGTTGCACTACATGAGTTCGAGTAGCATTATATAGAGTCGTGGATGTGGGTATGAGTCACTTTTCTCAACCAGAAATGGCTTTGAACTAAGTTGCTTCTGCAAAGATGGTGTTAGAGAAGAGAAGTTGCAAAGTGATTCCCACATGTCACATAGTGGTCTTCATTTGTCAGGGCAGTCCTGGCAAAGCCTTGACCCTGTCTCATCATGGATGCCAACTTTCCATTTCTCCCTTTTCCAACCCATGTTTTCGCCGGTCATGCAAAAAGTAGAAGGGAATACATACTTCTTGCTCTGGAGGGGGAGGCATTGTATAGCTTTCTAGAGCCTGTTAGCCCATGCTGCCCAGGAGTTCTTCCACTTTATGCTGGTCTTCAAGCAACGTGACGGCTTCAGCAGCAAGGCCTGGTATTCAGGCTGAACAAGCCTGACTAGACCGATCACCCATGTGAGGGAGGATCAAAAAAGACGGATGTATGGGGTGAGTTGAGGATGGACACGGTATCGACCAAACCTGTATACTTTTGATGAAAGAGCTCATGGCCTGTTCTGTAATTTGACTGTCCTTCTTGCCCTCTTGGTCACTGACCATTGAGCAAAGTCTTGCTGCCTTCATCGTGCTGAGAAAGTCACAGTTCAGGAATTGAAGGACTTCAAGGATGTGTTTCGCAAGTTTGATCGTGATCAGTGGGTCACTGAGATGCCTGCTTTTGAATTCAGAGGTTGTGCAGAGCTTGACCTTGGGACCCTTCCTTGATATTTCTTGTTGTTCCCCACAAACTCTAGATGTCCCTCTATCTGGGAGGACATGATGACCCTACAAAGCATTAGATTTGAAGAGGCATAACAGAACCAATGTCATTTGAGACAAAGGGCACCGCTCGCAGAGACGAAAGCGAAGAGCGAGTGAGAAAAACACCGCCAGTGAAGGTCTGACAATATCAATGTGCACGAGCTTGGCGACATGTTGCGATACCTCGGCTTCAGCGTAGGAGTGCGGGGGAAAGGAGTTACTGCAGCTTGTCCGAAGTTTGAATGGTGCAAGAGATAAGTCACTGCATCTTTAATTCTGCTATGAGTTTCCTTTTGGCTGACGGATTCACTCACCCCAGCACAGCCCCAGCAGAGCTTCTGGGAGTGAACTCCCGTCTTCATCGACGTTTCTGAATGAAAGCGTGTCATCAGATAGGCACCTAAAATGACATGCACTCCTTATGCAAGCTGCCTACATGTTGCCAGTGGCGAAAAGAGTCATGCGAAGGAACGGACAATCTCTACATGCTGCTCGCACAGGTGCCAACTTCCCAAGCTAAGAGTTCTTTTTTTCTTTTAGATCACTTGACTGAGAGTCACACTTGTCCATTTCTGGCAGGTATTGCTTTTTAGCTCCTATGACCCTATCCGACGAACAGATGAAACCCTCGCTTGCCAGGTTGATGTAAATCGTAATGGCACATTGGATTGCAATGAGCACACATCTCAGCTCAGCTTACAGCAAGGATGTGGATCATGTGCCAAGAATGCTAAACGTGTTGAGAGCCTTCCTCCAACTTAAGGTTCCTACGACTGATGCGGCTTCATCGCGAAAGTGAACTGAAGAGGCCACAAGTCATTCGTGACATGAGTTTTGGGCCATGTTAGACTCTGGAATCCACTTTCTAGTAGGTTGGAGGCCATCGCTCGACTGTGGATTCCACTTGCTTCCGGTCACGTCCGAGGATGTACGACGTCTTCGAACACAGAGGAGGGTTTCAGGTCGGACGGGCGCCAGCCGGCGACAACGATATGACGAGCTGTTTCATTAGGCATTGCCCTTTCGCCATCCATGTTGTTCGAAGCACTTCAGGGTCTGTTTGTCTCCTGGTGGGCCTTCGAAACGTGTTGGTTGTGGTCCAACTCAACGAACTTTGAGAATCGTTAGTCCTTGGAGGATGATGAGATCAGCTGCAAACAGGTGCCAGCAGCGCTTCAGGACTGATTACAAGTCACAGCCGTCTGTGAGACCAGTGGATCCCCCACAAGTGGTTCTCTGATTTTCTGGGACGAATAATCGTGATACACCGGACTTGTCCAGTTACCAGGTCCAGGTTCACAGCCGTCTGAGGAGTTCTTCGGGAGAAACTTGGACATGCCTCTTTCTTTTGTGGAACCGAAGTTCGATTGGGCTCAAACATCGGTGGAACTTCCTCCCTTTCAGCACCGAGGGGGTTCTCTTGGAAACGGCATCGCGACAAGCGACAAGTCACTGGGCCGAGTCGGCCTGAGGATTACATGGGTGGTGAAGTGAAGGCGGAGGTTCTGCAGAAGGTGCCACCGTGTGCTCCTCAGACACACGAGGAGCAAGACAAGGAAGGAAATTCAACTCAGCCAGAGAGTCTTTGCAGTTAATTGCAGTAAGACTTATTTTTTGGCGCCCCAGTAACAAGCACAGATGGAAACGTGTGGAGTCGTATGTACATATTTTTGTTCCCTCATGCAATCAACTTGGTGGAAGAAGGACAGGATTAATTACATTAAACTATATTTATGGTTTCTAATAGCTTCTTGTTACTACTAGTAAGGCCCTTGCTCCTAGTAGCGATGCACTTGTTACTAGTAGCTCTTAGAGCTGTTTTGTGATGGCCGAATTGTGAGATGGCAGATAGCAAAGGTCCGAAGGTAACTCACTCTCTCCCCAAAGGTCCGGTGACATGGACTTCGAGGACACCGCTGTGGATGCAAGAGTGCGAACCACATGTCTTTAATGTGTTTCATACATGTATTATAGTATGTATGTGTACACAAAAAATATATATATATATATAAATGGACCTTGATGTGAACCCTTCGCATAGAAATTGACATTGGAGGCGTGCTCCAATCTGCCGAGAACGGTTCAAGAAGCACATTGAGCATGCAAGACCGGGCAAATGACACCAACTCAATTGGTGTTTCACACCAAGCATTTTCCTTTGGACTCTCGGATTCTTTTTGTCCACTTTCCACTATATAGCTTCTAGTCTGTGGTTCACGTACCCCATCCTCACGGCCTAGGCCCATGCTACCAAAAGATCCTGTTGCTCTTTTTCTCAGAAATCTGGAAGCTATAGGGGTTCATCCTTCTCTCTTAAAACCAACCCCTGATCACAACTTGTTGCCTGAAACCCTTGGAGCCAGGCCCAGATCGCAACTTTTCAGATTGAACGCTGAAGTCCTTGAACTCTGGAAACAAGTTTATTTTTCTGCCTGGAACTCAGCAACCAGGCAACTGTTCTTCCTGGAATCCTACAAATGTGTGGGACTCTGAGCCAGGCCCTGATAGCCAACCTTTTTTCATTCTGGAAATTCTGGAGCCATCCCCTCACCCCATTGCATTGGATTGTCCACACCTGCTGGCCGCAGTCTTGCCAGGAGTTTGTCAGTCTGGCTGATCAAGCACGCTGGGCGAAGGTGATCTCCGAGCGACGAATGGTGCGGAAGCCAAGAGATGCTGCGGAAACCACTAGCACCTGGAAGAGATCGTTTCTTCTCACCATGTCTCATGTGAGAAGAAATAAAAGAAGATTCCCAGACTCTTTACATGTACTAACTAACTGCTCTGACAGCCAAGGCGGGCTTCTCTCAAGCGGAAATCTCAAGTCTGGAGGAGACCATGTGACACCCTGACCTGAACATGGGCCAAGCCCCCACTGCTAGACCCATGCATTGAACTTTACGACGGTTCGACTTCCCAACAAATGACACATCTTAAACAACATGCTATGCACATCCCTTCCCCTGTCCCTTGGTGCAGGAGATGTTCTCACACTACGACAAGGATGGTAGTGGCGATATTGACTCCTTTGAGGCCTGGGATGGTTGAGGTAATGCTGATATTTCAGCAGACCCATACACTTTGGATAGACAGCCGTGGTGAGCGGACACTGAAGGCGGTGTTTAGCGAACTTAGATAAGAGATTCGGATATCACATCGCATCGCATGAATCGAATGAGGTTTTGGTCTTCTGGCGCCACTGCCCACTCCCAACAGTGGTCCTGACAGGTTCAGGAGTTGCTAAATGACTTCGGGCTCAAGCTCAGGACCCCGACCACGGGATGGAGAAAACTCGGGGATTTCAACTCCAAGAAAACGGTTCCAGATGAGCAAGACATGCAAACCATCCCAAGACAAAAGAGAGACAGAACAACAAGTTGAAAAAGGCCAAGGAGCTGTCAGGTCACCAAGTGTCGACTTGATGGATCTCTATGGTTGTTCCTGGATGCTCAGATTGTACGATTTTGTTGTGAGGACAAGGGCAGAACGCCAAGAAGTCTTGGACCAGTTGGAAGAAGCTCGACAACTGGCAGCTGAGGTGAGGACTGATTGCGACAGGTGGAGGCATAGGTATCAAGAAAAGAATATTTATCGAATCAATAAACATATTTACCGAATCAAACAAAATTACTGAATCAATAAAACAATATTACTGCGACTGCTATTTGGAATATTGTTTTGAGTCAGTAGTTGTTTTTATTGATGCGTGTAGAATGTTAAATAACTATTTTTTGATCTCTCACCCACAGCTGGAAGGCTTGGAGTCCTCTCATTGAAGACCTAGCCAATAGTAAGGCACCTTGCTACTAGTAGCGTCCTTGTTAGTAGTAGCGATGCACCTTGTTACTACTAGCCAAAGCCCAAAGAACTTGGTTTTGGTGAGACTTCATTTAAGATTTGAACGTCCTATTGGTTCCTGGTCCTGCTTCCGTGGATTCAAAGAACTCCTACACCAACAGAAAAACGCGCTCGATCTGTCGCAGGCTGGCGTCCAACACGACGCCCGGAGACCGAAGAGCATGATCACCTTTTGGGAACTCGTGCCTCGTCGGCGTCAGAACGAGTCCGTACAAACGGGCGAGCGAGTTGTTGAGGCCAACGACATCGACATCGATATTAGGACGGATTGAAGGCTTAGGTTGTAAATGTATGTAAATGTGGAGTCAGTCTGACTCATTGCGTTGTTGCGACAGAATGGTTCTAAGCTTTTAAGGTCACAGAGAACAGTCATCATACACATATGGAGGGAGGCACATGCCGCCCACGCCACACTTCTAGACATTTATTGCATAGAATTTGTGCGAGACAGACGATCAAACTCGTACCTGACACAATATACCCATGCCATGCGGTCCCTCGGAAGGTACAACTTGTCCGGCTGGTGAAAACGCACAGGGCGAAGCTCAAGGAGGACTCGAAACCATTTGGTCCCTTGTCGTGAATAGGAGCCCCTAAGACTAAGGGCCTGAGACTAAGGCATCAATATCTCGCGGTAGTCAAAGTGAATTCAGGCTAGACTGGAGTTGGCTGGGTGACGTCGCTTGACTGGTTGGCTCCCAAATCTCTACCTTCGTATCTTGGAGAAGGTCAACAACTTCTCGTCCCGCGAGGAGGAGAGCCAACAGCTTCTCCAGGCCATCTCCTTCTCCAAGCAGGAGGCACGGATTGGGTGGTGAGGAAGCCTGCTTTTTTCTGACGCGCGCCCACGTCGGTGACAGAAGTTGGCGCATGAGGACCAGCAAATCCTCACGATTGGAACGTAATGGATGCACATCTCACTTAGACATGACAAGTACACGTTGGACAGTTGGAGATGGTGATTTGCTAGCACTATTTTCTGCAGAGTGGCACCTGGTATCATGACCGTCCGCACGTCTCAGACTCAAGCAGCAGTGGGGCTGGCGCAGTCTGGACATGACAAGCTCCCCTTTGCTTGACCAAAGCATGAACAAAAGACAAAAAGTATCAAAAGGCAGCTTTTCAGGTCACACCGAGTTCAAGAACACTGTTCCAGCTTGTTGCGCGGGAACAGAGGTTGCGGAGGCTGAGCCGTTGCAGTGCTCCTTGGCCCGTCGACGGGACCAAGACGAGCAGCAATGTCGAAGCAGCTGAAGCCGCTGAATTCCAGGCAGCACCATAGCAAGTTCGAGCTTTGGGCGAGGACTGGGTGATGGGGACAATGAGTACATGCTCATGTCACTGTGGTGGTCATCTTACAAGTTTATGTGGCATAGACACAGGTGTTTTGCAGAACATCAAGCCAAGTTCCGCGGCTAGCCTTGGAAACATTGCGCCGCCTTTTCAGATCGAAATGGATTTGACAGCGTCAACGGGTGCTGTGTCATTCTTGGAAAGGGGTATGGTCGGCATGGTTCAATTCCGGGCTTTTCAAGAAATATGTTACGAAGCAGTGTTCTCAGGAGTCCATTGCTGCTCTTCTTAGCCTTGCTGTACACATTTTCCGTGGAGGTTGGGCCTGTGGTATGGCGATGGCCGTATCTCCTTGTTGAGCTTTTAGGATGATGTGCACGTCAAGCACATAGTTGGTTGAAGAGAAGAAGTGGATACCATTGGTGTTGATGTTAAGGCCAATGGCCAGACTGGTCTCGGGCCCATTGCCAATACATCCCACCAATCTACTTTTCGCACAGGTAACCAGTTTAGCACAAAAGCCAAACGAAGCCAAATTGACGTGATTGAGGTCAACTTTGCAGAACAAAGTTTCCTGGGACCGGCAGATATTCGTGGAAAGGTAAGGGCGCCCCGAGTTTATCAATGACACTTTATTCGCGGAACCCAGGTTTTCATTGATGCACGGAGAAGAAAGAGTGGCAGATACCAGCACACCCTGTACAGCTATTGCTTGAGTACACTAAAGCTACATGTACCCTCAAGCACAGGTGCTTTCAAGCGACGATAGCTACACAGGAAGGTGGGAACCAGCATTGCCCTTCACACGGCCGATCTGACAAGCATGCCCTGACAAGGCCTTCTGTGGAGTCATCAAGGATGCAAGATGTATTCATGCACATCGCGCAGTCAAGGTGCGCGACCAACTGATTTGTTGTACAAGCAACAAGGGTTTGACGATAAAAGAACTTTGGACAGTCTGAGCATGAAGGGCAATGACAGGGGCCATGAAGGGTGATGAGGGGTTTTGCGGCTTGTTATTTTGGCTCTTTATCGATGCACCCAGGCGCGCCATGAGAGAGATCGCGAGCTTGAACGTGAATTGGAGAAGATGCTATCTGAAAAGGGCACAAAATCATCAAAATCCAAGTCCATGATTGAGGAGGTGTTGAAGCTTCTTGAGTTTTCAAGTGAAACCATCCTGGAAAATCCCATGGCCACAATCTGGAGGGTGGAGGATGGTGAGGGCGGCATAGTTTTGGTTATCTTGGAACAAAACCACCTGCTGAAGTTTCAAGCGTTCTTCAATGGTCCAAGTGGCTTCGAGACAGCCCGCAGCATGATTTTCGCTAACGAGTGGAACAAAGAGAAGCGTTTCACGAAGCTCATTGTGGACCGCAAGGAAAACCACTTCCAGCTAGAAATGGACCTAAACCTCGAGTCCTGTGAGAGGTCGAGTGCGGTGTCTGATGCCATCAGATTTTTCCGCATGTCCATGGTCGGCTTACAAGTAGAGTTGGAGCAATGTACCTAACACTCCATTCAGTCTACTGACTGAAAGGCCGATTGCTTCAGCATCGTTTTGGGAGGCAAAAAAGTGCGCACAGGCCAAGACTTGCAAGTTTGGTGTTGTAATCCAGGGCTTTCACTGTTTAGCAGTTTCTTTCCGCATCATAGGGCTATGGGCGGCTATGGGTATGACTGCAAATCAAGCCATCACGAGCTTAGTCTTGATTTTTGGAAATTTGTAGCTCATTCATCGCAGTCTACGGTTGAACAAGTCAGAATTTCAATTCCTTAGTTGACAAACACTCCGATCGGAATCTCGCTTATGGTGTAATTTGGCTAGAGGCGTGCTTGTCAAAAATTGCGTGCACTGCTGCAGATCGATGACTTCCGGGCTGTCTTCCTAAGCTGGGCAAGCGTGGGACTTGTCGAACTGATCAGCGAGATGGGCTGGGATTGAATCTGTCAAAGCTCACCGCAGAGTTCATGGCGTGTATGTCACTCCATGCTCACCTTGGCTAAGAACATGGTGGCATGGGCCTTTCGAGCGAAGACACGGCCTTGGGCACGTTCTGGCCTTAAAAACATTTTCAAACCTATAACTTGTACCATTGCTGTCTGGGAAGAATGGTTTTTGTGGGGCGTAGCAACTTAGCAGAAGTTTCTATTTTTTTCAGGAAAGTCTCTCTCCATGAAACCGCTGCCAAGAAGCGAGAAACAGAGGACCGATGTGGTGAGTGCAGTTGATGCACTTAGATTTTTGCATTCAAGAAGCATGCTGCCTGCAAAGGGCATTGCATGGGGACCTGCTTAGAAGTTTGAGAAATGTTGAATGCTATTGAGATGGTTTACCGTACACCTGTACACTATATGTTATTTTTTGAACACATCCACACTAACCCGTTGTGCTTGCTTAAGGAAGGGTCGGACTCAAGAAAGTAAGTGTTTTGTGTGCGTGTGTGCAGGATTTGGATGAGGAGGAGCCGGGCCTGTCTGCCTCCATGCTACAGAAGCTTTTACGATGGTCACTCGACGTGACAGAATTCGCTATTCTGTTGATTTCCGAGTATCATCCACTGGCAGGGCAAATGCAGACGAAGAGTATTCAGCACCCGCACTTTCTTGTTGAAGGCCATCGCTAGATATCGCTAGTAGGTTGGAGGCCACCGCTACTAGGTTGGAGGCCATTGCTATTAGGTTGGAGGCCGTTCTTTTCTCCGCGGTCTGAGGCTAAACGTGCCTGTGACAATGCAGGGGAAGGAGGCTTTGGAGGGACGACTGAGTCTCTCAGCTGATTGATCTTAGCAAACCAGGATATGTACACACCACGCACCCAGTCCTTCATTGGTGAGCTCTTCCTAAACTTCGCACACGAAACCCAGTCTATGTTTGTGCCCAAACCTTTACCAAGCGTCAAAGATAACGATGTCGAAGATGACTTAGGCTTGGTACAGCAGACGGAGAAGAACGAGTTGAGTTTTGTTTGGAGCTGAGTTGTGCTACTTTGGGGTCTAACAGGTGTCCAACCGAGCAGCAGAGGCTTAAGCAGAGGACGTTGAACCGGGTGCATCACAGGAAAGTAGCATTCTGAGAAAAGAAGTACCTAGGAATCAGCAAGATGTGCAGAGTAGAAAAGGTTTGGAACCTATGAAATAAGGACGCATTGTAATTCACACATCATCATTCTCACTTCTTTCTACAGGTAGGCTTTTTGCAAGTGATGCGATGGATGCTGGACACCAACTTTTGCGGCATCAATGGAGTTGCACAAAAGGCGTGGCCAGTAATGACCATCCCAGGAACATGATCCGGAGATTCATATCTAAATACGAAAAAACCATATATATATAACACTAAATCATGTTCAGCAAGCCGGTGTCACTCAGACCTTTTACTCGTACCTTATGTTGAAAGGTGGTGCCAGGTGGATGAACTGGAATTTACCTTTCAAGTCCAAAGGTCCTACCCAGAAGATACGACGGAGCTACAGAGCGCTAGCTATTGCCATAGGCGGCCTCAGCTGCGCAGCAACAGCTGTTTGCCAAGGAGTTGCAAGGTGCCATTGCCAGTAGCTTCTTGATAATAGTAGCGATGGCCTCCACCCTAATACGTAGCGATGGCCTCCACCTAGTAGCTTCTTGATAATGGTAGCGATGGCCTCCACCCTAATAGCGATGGCCTCCACCTAGTAGCTTCTTGATAATGGTAGCGATGGCCTCCACCCTAATAGCGATGGCCTCCACCTAGTAGCTTCTTGATAATAGTAGCGATGGCCTCCACCCTAATAGCGATGGCCTTCACCTAGTAGCTTCTTGATAATGGTAGCGATGGCCTCCACCTAGTAGCTTCTTGATAGTAGTAGCGATGGCCTCCACCCTAATAGCGATGGCCTTCACCTAGGAGCTTCTTGCACACAGAAATTTGCTTTTGTGGTTGAACATAGGGTTGTTCTTGGTTGCCGCATCTCCCGTGGACATCGGACAGCGTCAGGAAATTCAATATGCCCAAACAACGAGGAACGCATGTGAGGGTTTAAAGGGGCATGAAATGACCTTTTGCAAGAAGGGCCAGGATTTTTTTTTTGTGGACTGTGGTGAGCAAGAGGATGGCTACATACTTTTTCTGAACAGTTTGGCGTTTGACCTGCCGCTCTGAGGTGCCTAAGATCTTGAAAGGAGGAATGTCTGAGCCGAATCCACCAGAGAGCTCTTTTGCAACATCTTTCAAGGTATCCAAATGTCAATCAAGAGCAAAATTCAAATTTGCAATGTTTTTTCTATTTTTTCGGCATAGCAAGATTCAATTTACTGTACATTGTACATGTACTTTTGATTCATCCGCCGCAGCGGTGACAGCCAACACACAGCCTGAAAGTCGTTTCACGGAGCAGTGAGCTCCAATTACAGCTTCAGCTGGACTCCGATACGGACAGCTGTTGGTTTTATATTTTGCAGATGGCCAAAGGCATCTGCCTCTTCACGGGGTATTTTGTTCCAAATTCGGTGCTGAAAAGCAATGTCACGTTTACCTTGCCGACACAGGGACTCCATCCTGGGTGTTAAGTCTTGGAGATCGTTTGACTTTGCAAAGGCTTTCCAGCACTGCCTTGGAGTGGTGCCCACTGAGGTGTCAATTCTGATGTTTGATGAAGCAATGCCTGCAAGGTTTTTTGTGTTTCTTGGCCACGTACGGTTCAAGCTTCTCCGGACAATTTCGGACTGCAAAAGATAGCAATAAATCACCAAAGCCTCCACAGAGGAGTTGTTCTGAATCGATTGGGCAAGATTGCAGAAAACAACGTTTCGCTGATGCTATGTCCGATGCACATGCAGACCACGCGGAACATATTCTTGCAGAGAAGTTCGGCTCCGTAAACCATTGGGATCTGAAATCAAGAGCAGTTCAAAGTTAAAAGATGGGAGAATCATCGTATGGATCGTTTGGTTATGTGTTGGGTCCCAAGCAAGGACAGCATTGTGGGACAACTGTTGGCAGCTAGTCACCCAAAACTGAAGCACAGTCGCCGGCTGTTCACGGTCGCGATGGCGTTCCAGCCGCCACCTCGACAGGTGTGTGTCAATCCGCGCGTTCCACGGGCAGTCCCATGGACGTCAAATGACGCACAGTCGCTTCCTGGTGGAGTTACTGACCAAGACTAGGACCTAGGATGGAAGGTAAGATGACTTGGCTTTATTTTCAGACTGGTTTCATATAGTAATATAGCATCTTCATTGTTGTTTTATTTTCCTTATAGTGTCAAGTTTGGTTTCCTGCAGGCCAAACGACTTCAAACCTTTGGGGGAAATGCATCTCCAACCTTATTTCCACTTGACCGACAGACCACAGATGCCAGGTGTTAATGATTCGAGGCTTGCTTTAAGGTACGCTCTTGGTGCCCCACACCAGAGTTCACCTCAAGCCTTTAAACAGCATTGAATTGGGATGCACATGTGGTTTGGCAAGAGCTGTAGAAACACAACCGAAGCAGTCAAAGTCCCATTGTACTTCAAAAGCCATGACCGGCAGGCAGTCGATGCTGGTTTCGTGGAGACCATCCGGCAACTGTTGGGCGATTTCCCTAGTGTTTTGCGCGCTTGTCCTTAACAAACCAAAGTAACCTAAGTATCATATCATGAGAAACGCAGTTAGGGAAGGTGTGCATCGCTCAAAATTCTTCGGACGTGCCTGGTTGATAGGCACAGACAACAATGCCCGAAATGTGGCCGAGCAGCGCTATGATTCAGCAAAAAGGACACTGCCCAAACTTGAGTCTTCACCGTTTGTTCTCACCAAGTCTGCGAAACCAAGACCTTGGTGATGTGACTTGTAGAGCAGTGCAGGACAGAGCCAGTGCAGCTGGTGGCATCACTTGTTCAGGTTGGGCCGTTGCAACAACTTTGGGGCACCCTGAGTTGAGACCGTGGCAGTACGTCCAACTTCACTTTTCCTCGGCATGCTTTTCTCACTCGGCTGCATCCACTTGCTTCAAACATCAGCAGCACTCATCCTTTCGCTCACCACAATTATCTGTTTCTGGGGTGTCCATTACTACTGGAAGCTTCCATGCAAGCTTTGACAATTTGAGACAAGCGACGCGCCAGCCCAAACGGCAATGTTCACATCTGCATTGTATTGATGTTGATTGCATCACTCAACCTGCCTTCAGTGCAGGTTCTGCTCAAGAGCGACATTGAAGTGCCAGCTTGGCGCCAAGGGAACCGCGCTCGACTTTCAGCCTTGGCGCCTCAAAGGTGGATTGGTTGCTCTAGAAAGGGAGTCACCCTCAGGATTAGCAAACCTTGAAGGGGTTGGCACTAACTTTCTGTTGAGGGGGTAAGAATACCTGCCAGACGCGCGTAATTATCTCGATGTAGAAACATGCAGAGACAGACACACTGCTAGGGTGCGCAACAAGGTGCGGGAACAATGTGCAGTGCTCTTGCGGCAGTGTTGTGGCAAGGCCGTCCAGGGCACGACACTGGCACAACACTGGAATGGTTTGACACCCACATATATATATATAAGATATCTCAGCTAGTAATTAGGTTGGAGGCCATCGCTAGTAGGTTCCTTCTGATCGGTTTTTTTCTTCACAGATAGCTGAATGCGACATTCTGGATTTTGAGATTTTTTCTGGGGTAAAGCCTGTAAAGCTAGTGAAGGCAGGAGACATGATCGGCTACCAGCCTCCGAAGCTACAAAGCTCTGATTCGAGGTGAAAGATGCTGATTCCACATGGCAGAAGCTGGGGACACACCAGGTGGGTTCATATTTGGATCCGCCAGACAGTGGGCTTCTTCAAGATGGCACAGTGGGTTTGAAGATGAGGTGCATAGCCGCATAGTCGTCATTGACCTAGACACAGATAGATAGATCATGATGGATCATGGATTATGGTTCAAGATGGATGACTTATCTATACTTATCTAATTATCATGGATCAATCATCAAAGGATTGATAGGGAGTCATGATAGTTCAGTCTTTGAATTACCTCCCCAGGCGCAGCTGCGAGGGCAGTTGCTTCAGATCCTGGAGGAGTGGGAGTTTCGGTGATGTTCGACCGCTTATCAATGTGGAGATGTCACCATGCCTTAGACATCCTAGATATACAAAGCAAACATGTGTTTTCAGTATATACAGGTTTAAGGTGAACCTCTTTCTGGACAAAAAGGAGCCGTCAAGCCGCCCGATGCAGGCCGAAGCAGTGCCGCAGGTCAGGAGAAAGGCCTGACGCATGAAACACCTGTATGCTTTTCCAAGCGGATATTTCTCTTGATGCGTCTTCCTTAAATTGATCGTTACATTTCAATCATGAGGTGTCTGATTGCATCCAAAGCTTGGCTAACCAAATCGTTGACATCGAAGATGACCAACGTCCGCAGAACCTCCAGGAGACTTAGGCAGAGAGTCAGTCTCGAGGAATCGTATGAATGAGCACAGTGCGCAGCAGTTTGCATTCCCTTGGAGACATTTTCCAGCTGTTTTGCCCGAACATGTAGGAATGATCGATTGATATCGATTGACAAGGATACTCTTCAAGTTAAACAATGGGCCTTTTTTCATGCTGACACATGGCCATGTTTCGCTTTGCCATTCCCAAGTGTGTAGGAGTGGCCTGAGCTGATGCCCACTCTTTTCCGCATCATTTGCGATACCAGCCAGGACGGCCAGTGATGTGAACAGGGCTTGCTTCGGGTCACCATGGTCCGTGAGTCGCCGAACGTTCAGTTAGGAGAGAATCCATAAAGGGGCCCAGACTTCAACACAAAAAAGCAATCATGTAAAAACTGTTCCTGGTCGAATCAGTCCCAATCATTCTGTTTGCTTTGCTGAACGCCTCACACCAGGACAGCAACCTTCGAGCTGATTGCTTGTGGATTGTCAAGGCAGAACTTGATACACGTGATGGGCCCATCGTCGTTCTGCAGGTTGAGACAACATGAGATAGTCATGCTCCAGAGTGAGCAGATGGGTGAAGGCTGTTGCTTTTTGATGGCATGCTACTAGTAAGAGTTTGCTGAGTCATTTCATCCACTGACACAGATATCAACTGAAACTACTGGATGACTGGATGTTTGCTGAGTCATTTACAGTCATTTCATCCACATTTCCAGGATTCCATGATCAACTCATATCAACTCATGAGGTTTTCAGAGATCCCTCCGGGGTCGCATGTCTCTTTCCGCAGGAGCTGACGTGTTCCGTGTGGCAGATGCTTTTGGCCAATCCCACGCAGACCTACCAGGCACTTTCCAAGTTCAGAATGACATTGGCCAATCCAGAGTGGCATGGCTTCAGCATCTTCGGCAGCTTCACAGGTGCTGCAAACATGCTTGGCAGATCCTGCGCTGGCTGTCCGTGACTCAGCGTTCTTGATGCCATGAAAGATTGATGCACCAATACCGGGAACAAACAAATGTCATTTTGGAATGATTGCTCTGGCTCAAGAAACGTATATAAGAGTTTGTACGTCAGCCTTTGTCCAGTTTTCTTTCTTTTATTGAACGGATTGTGAGCCCCATTGGCTAGGCAGTTGTAGCGAACTCTAGATTCATGAAGTCATCACGAGGTGAAGGCCGAAGCTGCAGCTTTGCTGTGCTCCTTTGTGGACAGTATTTCAAGCAGAGAGGTGGCACCTGTAAAAAACCGTGGGATTGTGGGGTGCATTCTGCAGATTTCCAGTTGGAGTTTTGGGATTTCGTTTGGAAAGAAATCCTGGTGGGTCCGTTCTGGATCCAGCGTTTGCTTCGTTCCATTGGTTTTGACTTTGTTTTGAATCATGTACACTGACGCGGCCAGGGACGAAAGCCTTTCCAGCAGTTGATCCCGGATGCATGGAAGCCTATGCTGGACGGCACCGTGAGGAACGATCGAATTGTAGTCCCGACGTGTACGATGGCAAATACATGTTAGGTTACTGTAGTTCATGCGAAGATGTCCAACAGTATGTTGGCCCCTAGCAGGGTGTGTTTGGGTGTAGAAGGACAGGTGCCGTTTGTACTTGTCCTAGTTTGCAGCAGTTCGACCGACCAATGTTTGCTGACCATGGTTGTTTACAAGATCATGCTCATTGGCTTCTTGACATCACGCAGATGACGCTAAGGTTACAACTGTCATGGCGCAGCTTGCTAGCGACCCTGAGCCAAAGTGTGGGCCCGACTGTTGGGATCGTTGATCATTGAAAGGATTCAAACAGTGAAAGGCACTTACTTGATGAAGCAGGCGTGGAACATCCTCCATTGAGTGATCTGGAGTGTTACGGGAAAACGGGTTGTCCCTGGAACATAGGATACTTTTTCAATCTTTTTCACAAAACCGGCGGTTCCTCTGAACACCGAAGAGGTTCTTGGACCGACCGTCCCCGCCGTCCCCTCTCCGTCCCCGTTGTTTCACCGAGGCATCTCAACACGGTGCTGCAAGCCTTCCAGTCTACGACCGAGACGGCGGATTTCTTCAAGCAGCACGTGGGGCCACCAAAACAACGGAAAGTCGGAGCATGTCCGGATTGATGGATGTGAGACAACGGGAAGCTTTGATAGAGGTATACATCCGACTCGGTGAATGTGCAGCTTCACTTTGCAGAGATGTTTTGCCCTTTGGTGCCCAGATTGCGACACATTTGATGCCAGTGCTGTGTGGCATTGCAAAGCCAGATCCTCAGCTCTGGACTGCAGTTGATGCGACATGAGCGACGTTTCTACATGCTTGTATGACGTCAGATGACGTTTGTATTTGAAGGTCGCACCAAGATATGGCTGCAAGGCAGGGGGTGTCCACTTCATATGTTAATTCTTTTCTTTGATACGTCGGAGATCTTGGGATCCAGCGGATTCACACTGTCATCACCGTCGGCGCGTCGGATTTCGCAGGAAGTATGCATTTGAGGTCGGAGCCCGAGTTCAATTTAAAAACTAAAAGAGGAGTAAAATGTGGATGATGGGGCAGCAGTACTGATCTCGCAATTTTAAGGGACACCGTTACTTGACTGTTTCTCAACTATTTCTTCGCATTCGAAACTGTCGGCTGCCTTTTGCGAAGGTGATTGTGTCCTTCATGGAGAGCAAGCCTAAAATGATGCTCAAGGTGCCCCACTATATCGAACAGGCCGGACTCCTGTGAGTAGAGTCACAGAGTCACATGCTAGCCGGAAATGTGCACCGCTCCAAACTAAACACCCCTCAAATCCCCTCAACATTGGATGCTACATGATGCTAGTACCAACAAACACTGGGTCACAGGCACAGCCACGTGTCTCTTCGAGCGACTCTCCCCTAAGCACATAGGGGAAGGCCCTTTTGGGGGCTTCCCAACCGAAGCGGCTCTCCGAGGCTCTGGATCTTTGTGTCCACTTCATGATGCAGCTTGAGGACGACATCTCTGGTTGGATGCAAGAGGCCCGAGTTGGTCCTGCGATTCCTTCCCGGAGCGTTCTGGCAGAGGTGCCAATTAGGTGCCAAGTAGGTGCCGATGCCATTCGAGTTGGAACAAAAGGTGATTGCCATCTCCTTTGCTATCGCGATGCCATGAAGGGCGAACACTCCTTCATTGTTTGGAGCGAATTTTTGGTCAGGATGATGAGGATGGCGAAGATGAGGAGTTCCATTCTAAGCGCAGAGGAAGTGAAAGAACTTGAAATAAAGCCTGGAGACCCTGTTGCTCCCTGAGGCTTTTCAGTGTTGGCAAAGAGGCAGTGGCTTTCTCAGCTGAACAGATTTCTCAGGGTTCTCGAGGTTGGAAGGGTGTTCTCCACAAGTTGGTGCCGTTCGTGGTGTTTTGGCCCGTCTCCGTTCATCAGAACGCCTCTGAGGTGGATCGTATCAGTCGATGTGCGGTCAAGGTGACGAAGTCGGGCAATCCGGGGTATCAAACGGCCTCCTTTGCTGCTTGGAACATCGCTTGAACGAACGGCCTCCTTTGGTACATGGATCGTTGGAACATTCCAACGAATGGTGGACTGCCTGGGCAGAACGCAGGGGTCGTTCGAATGTTATCCTCTTTTTTAAATACTTCACATTCACACATACCAATATTTTTAATCCCCCGGATGCACCTAACTCATGATAAGAAGTGAGATCTTCAAGAAATCCGTCTTGAAGAAGTTTGATCTCTTGAGTTTGTTTGGGTTGTGTGAAGTTTTGTTGCAGGCCTAGAATCTAGAATGATTAATTATCATCCCCATAGGAAACACGGTTCAACGGTTCAAAGAATGTCCGACTCGACTCAAGAGTTCAGACCTTCTAGACTCCATAATCCCGTGCAAGAGCAATTTCTTTCTGAAACTCTTTCCTTTTGTGTCAGGTGAGAGGAAACATTGTTCAAAGAGTGCCCATTCAGTAGTGTATACAGACCTGCTAGACTTTAGTATGCATTGCTGTCACAAACTCTTTCTGTTTGGCTAGAGAGTGTCCACATAGCAAGGGAAATCACCCCACACGCACTCATCCACTATAAAGTACACACGACAGTCTAGGAAGGAAAGGAACGTAGTAAAGGAACACTACAGCAGTGGGGTTTGGCCTTCGTTTACCATATTTATTGGAGCCGAGTCCATTTCAGGGTTCTCGCTCTACTATATCCCTGATTCCCAAGCACCATCCAAGACCCATTGAGTTCCATTTTGCAATCCTCAATCTTTTGTAGTTTACGTTTGGGCATAACACATGCCTTTTTGTAGCCAATTGCAGTTGCGGAAGCTGCCGAAGCTGTGCAGAAGACTCTTTTGAGCGCAAGGGAGCGCAAGGGCATATGATTAGCCACAAAAATTTACAAACACACCTGCCGATTTTGGGGAAGCCGTGCGGGCAAGCCTTGCGGAAGCTCCAATCTACCAATTTGTCCCTCATTCTTAGCCAGATGTATAGCCACGAAGACACCATGAGAGAACTTAGAAGTGACAACTCCCAAACATCTAGCTGTTCTATATTGTTCATTATTGGACTAAGACCCTGCGTGCAGAAGCAAACCTCAAAGAAACGCTCGGTAACTCACGTCGCGTAAGCTCAGCGGAAGTCCCTACCCAAGCAAGTAGCGCACGGAAGCCACCTTTCACATGGCGGAAGGTTGGCGCAAGCAGTTGCGGAAGCTTTGTGTTGGGCCCATCACAAACAAAAAGGACAAACAAACAGAATTCCTACAGGTTTGGGCACCAGGACCCCATCCTGGACCTCGTCAACAGCACATGAACCCCCAGATGAAAGACTGGATTCCAGACCCAATTTTCAGCGCTTGGAATGGAGATAGCTGAGATCCTTGGGCATTACTTGCGGGTATCCCTTTGGTTCAGTCAAAGCTGAACTTGCGTGAAAAGGATGCTGCCAGAAACCAACTGGGTGCAGTTGTGGAGGTGGAAGCATTTCCATTCTTGCTGGAGGGCTTGAAACAGGCCAGGGAAGGCAGCACATGATGCTTCACTCTAGTTACTGGTAGTTCGCTTTTTGAGTTGTCAGTCTGTCACTATAAAAAGATACATTAAAATCATTAAAACATGTTTCTAATTTTTAACGGTTTTGATGGTCTCAAATCGGCTGCCGGACCTGCAGCCCTGGGATTTCACTCCAAGAGTGTTCGGAAAAACGCTGGCCTGGCAGATGCTATGCCACTATGCTTTTCTATTTTGGTGAAACGACAGGTTTCAGATGCCGCTTATGACTTTTGTTCACAATTCCTTGGTTGAGGCAGTGACCAAGCTTTTTCAAACCGGAGAATGGAAGCAGGCCTTGCATTCGAATGCATTAGAGAGATCCGACTGGAGGCTGAGGCAGGACCTCTCCCCTTTCGACCCTCAGGTTGTTGCAGGGATTTCCACGCTTGCCATGATCGCTGAATATGTGGACGACGAGGCCAGGCCGACCCACACCGACCCACAGCGACCCAGCTCACCGGCCAGGCCACGGTGTCCCAGATGACGAATGGCATCAAGATACAGTTGGGGGCAAGCAATGCGCCCTCCTGACTGATTGCAGCTCTACAACTTTTCTGAAAAGACCAGGTGAGCGGACGAAGTCACACCCTCCAACACTTTGACATACATGACATACTGGGATCGACGAGGCCTTTTTGTCCTGACGTTCTAATGCGTTGAGGCTTGAACAATTTGAGCTGGGTATGTACGTATGGAATCATATGGATACATATGGTATGTACATGTATGTACAAAATCTTCAATTGAATGGAATCCTGAAGGAGTTCCATTTAGACATTTGGTTGGACCGGGCTAGATGGCCTCCATGGCTGGATGTTCCAGTATGACTGCAGTGGTGGGGAGCTGTGTTCCAGGTATGAAATGTGTCATACAATCTATCCGAAAAAACAATATGAACAAATCACGCTTCTATACAAGTTCACAATGTATGAATTATGACACCCAAAAGGTAATTGGTGAACGTCAGGCATGGACACTATAATATGTAATGTGTTTTCCACATGACTGAGTTGCTTTCGCATGGCCAGGCGTGTACGGTATGCTGCTTGGGGTGGCATGGCACAATTTTCCGAGGAGGGGTGCTTGAAGGGCCAAATGGGACTTGTGCATGTGCATTGTTTATATGCATAGATTGTGATACAGGTAATATAGTTTGGCTGAGAAAAGTACTGTAGCCTAGCAGCTTACTCTTTTTCCAGCCAGGACCATGCTGATGTTGTCAGCTCTGAGGTGCGATCCACCGAAGAACGAACGATAGCTGACAATGTGCTGATCGAGAGACTTAACAAACTTATCCTCCTGAAGAAAGCAACAAGGACGGGTAAGGCCTGAAGGATACAGAGCAGATCCCGGACTATCGGTGACTCTATTTGGACTGCAATATGCAACGTGTTTCAATGACGGCACGGTTTGGATCTCCAGTTGCTAGGCCTTCACTTCTCAGTTGCTGCCAGAGTTTCTCAAAGGCCCTCGTGCTGGGAACAGACACCCGAAACTACGGGGGCGCAACGTGATGGGACGGATGGAACTTGTTGGATTTGCCTGGCATAAGGTGGATCGATCGAAAAAACAACAAAGCACAAGTGTGCCTGCCATCCATTTGGTGTATTTCTCACAACTAAGAGCAAACTATAGGTGTTCTGACTGACCATTGAAACCAATTGTGCAACATCCATCATGGACGACGCACGACCAGCAGAACGCTGGGCGTGCTTATTCTGGGAAGTGGCTCTCGGGGAGACATGGTCGGCGACGGAATGGGGCGAAGAGGTGGTGTTTTTTGTGCTTTAGAGCCTGTGCCTTTCTTTTTTGCTCTTTTGTGCCTTTCTTTTGTGCCTTTTTTCGGCGTAAGCGATCGTGCTTTTGGTTTTTAGCAGTCAGACCGAGAGCGAGGTCTTGATGATTCTTGCCCCAGAGTCAGCCTTCGATGCATGGAGGCGATCTGCCGATTTTGGAACAGGTGATTCAACTTGAGAATTCATGTTCACCTGGTCACCTCGTTTCAATTGGAACTTGGATTTTTCATGTTGTTTTACCTGTTTGTTCCCGCTTTGTCATTCAATTTCGCAGGCCTTCCAGCATTATGGTGAGGCTTTGGAGCGAGAGGACATAGCAAGTACAAGTTCCTGGTGAGGCTTCTTTTCAGCTGCAGAGTTTCTTTGCAGGATCTGGAGCCTTTCATCCAACCCTTGATGGAAAAGCTGGGTGCCAAGCTCCAGAGTCAGGACATCAAGGTGCAGAAGAAGGCCCGGAGCCGGGTCTGGCATGATGCCCCGGCATGGTCTGGCACGGCTTTGCTAGTCAGGCGATCACCTTCATCGCCGTCATCGCCGGACAGGCCAATCCAAGGGTCAACGTTTTTCTCGGATTGCCATCTCTGCCACTGGATGAATAGAAATTGGTGTTGCAAGTATGTCTTGCGTTTTGGGATCTCCCGGCATCAGATTATGGAACACCTCCGTGATAGATGGAAAGGTTTTCTAAGAAGGGGCATTCACTTTTCTATCTCTTTTGGGGGACACTACTACGCCTTTCTGGCCACCTTGAGAGGTAGATGATGCCTTCGCTCCCTATTACGGCCACTTGATGCCGGTGCTGAAGCAGGCGTCGAATGGCGAGACTCCACGCCGTGAGATGTCTGGAGAGCGCAGCAAATGAGTTCATATCCATATGGCACACACTCCCATGACATAAATTTCTGCACATGATCGCATTTGTACATATGCAACATGTTTGTATACGTGTATGCGTAGATGTAAACTGTAAACATGGATCTCCCTCCCTCTCTCTCTCTCTGTTTATATTCGACTTGCTGAAATGTGGGCGCCAACAGTGCAGTGCACATTATATAAACGGTTTAGCCCAAATGTCTCGCTGTAGATGGGTCAAGTGAGCAGCCCCACAATATATATATATATATTTTTAAATCCCAGATGTGCACAGAGAAAATTTGAAAGCGGACGACCGGAACACAAGGTGATCCAGAATACATTGCACAAGACAGAGGCTCGCAGGGTCTTGATTTCTTGCTTTTGTGGTCCTTTGCCTCGCGATTTTCGATCAAGAACTTTGCAGGAACGGCAGCTTTTGGGCAAGTGCTTTGAGTGCATCTCTTTGTTGGCCCGGGTTGAAGCCCCAGAGAACACATGGGTCATGATATTGCCAAGACGAGAGAGCCCTTTGCATGTGAGATGAGATCAGATCATCAGTGGGTAGTTACCACACGCAAGCACGCGCGCACACACACACATGGACTGCCGAGCATGTGCTTTCACAAGAGGAGACCATCTCTGACCCTTGGATTGGGGCAGATCGATGGTTGCACCTGGTTTTGCGTACTTGTTCCGTGCAGCGTATCCACCCGTATGGCAAACAAAGATGCGTCGTAAGGGGACCACAATCCTCCCACTTGATATTGTAGAAACGCAGTTTCAGCACCAGTGTCGGATGGACAGGTTTGAGTGATCCCGCCGATACATCTCGGCTTGAAGGCCTGATGCCATTTTACAGCTGCGCCTGAGGAAACTAAGTGCGCGAGGGCAAGCAAAGATCTCAGCAAGTGGAGCGCCATCCTGGGCGCTCCTCGTGTTTTGGTTTGTGGCCAAGGCAAAGAATTTGTGTCGGCAGAGTTTGAATTGTTTTGCAGCGAATGGAGCATTTACCTTCACCACACTGCAGTTCAAGCGCCTTGGCAAAATGGAATCTGTGAGCGTGGTGGTGCTGTGCTCAAAGGTTTGCTTCGCACGTGCGTCAAGTCGCATTCAGCTTTGGGCAAAGATGATTTAGACATTTGTCTTCAAGAGTCCGTCGCTGCATTCAATAGCGATGTGACAGATGCAGGTGTCAGTCCTGCTCAGGCTGCATTCGGAAAACAACCCAGGATGCACGGTGATTGCCTTGGAGATTTCGGCCGACGCCTCAGTGAACACAGCCTCATTGATGCCAAACCAAGCTTGGCCCGGCAGGTGGCAATCAGAGAGACGGCCCGAGTGGCTATGATTCGGCTGCCCTTCGAGAAGGCCGAAATAGCCAGATCAAGAGCTCCTACCTCACAGCACGGATTGGTGCCTGGCGACATAGTCTACTTCTTTAGACAAGCTCGCTACAACAACAAGACAGCAGCATCAAAGAAGAAGTTGGCCCTCCGTCGCTGGCATGGTCCCGCTCTTTTGGTCGCCCTTGAAGGCAATGTGAACGGCTTTGTGAGCTTCCGGGGTCAGTTGACCAAATGTGCATTGGAACACCTTCGATCGGCAAGTTCTTTGGAGCAAGTGGCTAGTGGTGTTTGGCGTGATGCCATTCAAGAAGTAGTTATTGAAGCTGGTGTGCAAGACCAGATTCGTGAACAAGCCAGCCCTCTACCTCAGATTGCAGAGGAGCAAACTGCTGACGATGAACCGGCACTACCTGCTGAACCTCTTCTTCCTCCCAGTGTACCGGAAGACAGTCCAGCAGACCTTCCAACCTCGAGAGTTGGTGAATGCTTTGGGTGTAAATCCGCCCCAAGAGTCTTCAAGCGGTTGGTCAAGGCATACTTCATCAATGCCTGATTTGAGCCAATCTCCTTTTCCTGAAGCAGTACGATCTATGTTGGCTCAACGAAGACAGAGTACCACCAGCCGAGCTCCCAGTATGACAGAGTCCGCAACTTCGAAGAGACCTGCAGAAGTGGATCCGGCAAGACTGCGAGAAGAAGTCCAACAGGAACTAGATAGTTCTTCCTTGCAACCGGCACCTTCTCCTATGGCTCCTGCCTCAGAGACTCTCAAGGTGACGCATGAAGTGCTTGAGATGGAAGCCTTTTCCCATGTTCATCCTCTGGTCCTCTACGGCAAATTCAACTCATGGCTGAGCAGGATCGTTTGAACCCGCTTGAGGCCAAAGTCAGAGACCATGGAACCTGGAGAGGAAATTGGCCACTTCCTTCGAGGACTGATTTCAGGAGACGCCAATTGCTGAACCAGTTGTGGCCCTTGGGAAACAATGATGCGGCTCAAGAAGTGCTTGCAGTGCTCACAGCCCGCAAAGAAAAGTTCTGGAGCCAGATGAGTGACTTCGAGAAGAAAGAGTTCAAAGAGGCCGCCGCCAAGGGATGGTCAGTTTGGACCGAGAATGATGCAATCGAACCTCTTCCAGACAGTGAAGCTGAGAAGATCAACATGAAACTCAAAGCCGAAGGCCGAAGGTGAAAGTCATAGAATCTTGGTGCCAAGGTTCATCTACGTGGACAAGAATGATGGTCTGCGAACAGCTGAACGCAACTTGCCCCTCAAGGCCAATGCAAGACTGGTCGCGCCGGGATACCAAGACATCTCAGCATATGGGCTAAGGTGTGACGCTCCAACGGCTTCGAGGACCTCTCAGCACCTCCTGTTGACCTTTGCTGCAAGCATGCATTGGACCCTGTCAAGCGCCGACATCAAGTCAGCGTTCATGAAAGGTGAAGAGTTTGGACCAGAAGACCGAGTGCTTTATTTGGCCAATGTGAAGACGAAAGATCCAAGTGAACCTCAACTTCCTTTTTCCTCCAACGGCCTGTGCCGCGTCAAGAAAGGAGTGTTTGGCCTCGCAGATAGCCCTCGTCGCTGGTACAAGCGCCTTTGCAAGTCTGTGCGCCAACATGGCTGGCGAATGTCTTCACTGGACTCAGCAATGTGGTTTCTTTGGAGCCCTGACGGCTCGCAGTTGGATGGCATTCTCATCTCCCACGTGGACGACTTGCTGCTTGGCGGAAATAGTCGAGCGCGCAACACCCTGGAACTCCTTGGGAAAGAGTTGGGCTTTGGTTCAACCTCGAAAGGAAACATCACCTACTGCGGAAAGAAAACTGAGCAGTTCAAAGACTTCTCCATCAAGGTTTCCATGGAAGAGTACCATAGCAACCTTCAGCAGGTGCGCGTCCATCCAGAACGCAAGAAGACGCCCCAAGCTGCATTGATGCCAGGTGAACAGCGCCAATTGCGAGCGCTTCTGGGAAGCCTTCAGTGGCTGGTAGCTCAGGTCAGATTTGACCTCCAGTTCCAGTTGTCGACCTTGCAAGGTGCCTCACAGACCATAGAGACGCTGATCTGGGCGAACGCCCTTGTGAAAAAGGCGAAACAGCATGCCTCGTTCTCCCTGAACTTCAAACCGCTGGACCTTCGTGATGCAGGCATTTTAGTTGTCTCAGATGCTTCATTGGGCAATGTCACCAAAGAAGGCAGCAACCAGGGAGAGTCCATCAAGAAAGTCTACAGTCAAGCTGCCTACTTTGTCTTGATCGCGGACCGCGACCTCATGGCTGGCAAGGAAGGAAGCTTTGCGATCCTCGATGCAAGATCGCATAGGCTCAACAGAGTCTGCCGCTCGACCTTCGCGGCAGAAATCCTCGGCGTAGAGGAAGCGATGGACGCAGGGCAATATTGCCGTGGAGTGCTGAGTGAAGCTTTCGGACATCCGCTCGACAGAAAGCCCTTCGACCTCAGCACTGACTCCGGGTCGATGACTGTTGTGACCGATGCAAAGGATGCCTACGACAAGTCCTGCTCGGAAACTCCAAGCTATGGTTCCCAGAAAAGCTTAGCTTTCAGCGTCAGCTGGATTCGCTCTATGCTTGGCAGAAGCAATACTGCCATTCGCTGGATGGCCACCGAGAACATGCTGGTGGACTGTGGGACGAAGGAGTTAGACGCAGGGCATTTGCGCAAGATTCTCAACGACTGTCGCTGGTGTGTGCAGTTCTCCTCCCAATATGTCAAGCAGACGTCAAAAGCAAAGCCAAAGGCTTCAGCGCAGCGCCCCAGTTGTCAAGTGAGAAGTGATTTGGGAACGCCTTTTGAGAGTTCCTCTCCCCTGTTCGGGCACGTGATGAAAATCTCGGAGAATCCGGGATGGCATGATTTGAACGAAAATGTAGTTGCTCATGTTTGCAACCAGGCCCGATCGTACCGATCTTCAGAGCCCAGGTTTGCTGCGCAGAAGTATCCTTTCAGGTCCACCTTTGCTCGATTTGACAGCGACCATAGTTGTTTGTGGCGAATCCTGGAGGCCAACATTAATGTTCGAGAGCTCCAGAATGTTCGCCAAATGATTGGCGAGACCGCCGCACGACTCGACACTTGCCATGCAACAAAAGAATAGGATGAACTGTAGAAACGCAGTTTCAGCACCAGTGTCGGATGGACAGGTTTGAGTGATCCCGCCGATACATCTCGGCTTGAAGGCCTGATGCCATTTTACGGCTGCGCCTGAGGAAACTAAGTGCGCGAGGGATCCTTTTCGCTTGGATTCCACAGATATAAAGCTGCACGAGTTGATGACGCGTGAAGTGACGAGTTGATGTACTTATTCATTCATATTCTGTTCCCAGGTCTGCATCTCGGACTGGAAACCAGCTCAATCTCAACTTGTTTTGCTCCTCCCCGCGCAGCTGCCCCTTCTGGCCAAGTTTCCAACTTCCTCGCCGCGCAGAACGATCTGAAAGTTCCGCCGATATATCATCAATGACAGCTTCCTCTTTGCGCATTCCAAGCAATTGCGACTGGTGGCATCTGGGTCGTTATCCAACAATCGACAACTCAAACGCACAGAGACAGGCTTGACACGCAAGATTACACAGGCATGGCTGGCATCATAAATCATTGTTTTGGACCACGAAGCTTTTGCATCATCACGTCAAGCGTGAGGGAGTGTGACAGTGCAGGTCCTTACGAGTTTCAGGGGACAAGATTGGTTGTGGCTGCCGTGGCCATGGGTCAAACATTCGAGCACCATCCACACCCACTTGTAAAGGGACAAAGATAGACTAAAGCAATCTAAAACCTGGGGTATATATATATATATATTACGTATTTTTAGCCATCATAGTTGAGGCCGTTGGGCGCAGTGGCTTCAAAGCCGATGCTGAGCAGATCATGCAGGTGTGATGAATCTCCCCCGGCACTGAAAATGGGAATAAGGTAGATGAGGATCTTGGTTTTCATTGCTCATGAATTTCCGAAACCTATTAGCCTATTCTTGCTTGATCTTGATGGTGCAAGGCCATGATTGAAGCAACGAAGGTGCCAAACTTGCCGATGAGCGATCCTGTGAAGGACAGCGACTTGAGGCAAACATGCTATACATAGTGCATGTTTAAGCATATTCCTCAGCTGCTAAAGCTTTCTTTGATGCCACTTTGAGGGTTCGTTTTGAGGTTGTAATTTTCAGCGTGAACATTGTCTTTGCTAGGAGTACATGATGGCGGCCTCTGAGCGCATTTGTGTGGCACTCTTACTAAGTGTCCATATAAATTAATGTACTTGTTTTGTTCTGTCTTGCTCATGAAGATTTTAGAGTGACTGAGTCCACGCTGAAAGAAGACTTCCTTCCCTTCGTCAGTCACATCTTGCAGGGGCCTTAAACTTTATACTTGGTGCATGACAGTGTACCTGGACAGTCTTTGGACGTGTACATAGTTGTGATGAATCAGTGAGGAGGACATGGGGACATGGGGAGTGTTTTCTACTGAGTTTCATTGTTTTCTTGGACCGTCTTGGATGCTGCGAGCTGAGTCCTTTTGTTCCCTGGAGAGCTAGGCCCGGTGTTTTGGAGAAGTTCACGCTGGCCCCAAGGGTGCCTGGGATGCAGCACACACCATCAGTTTGACGCGCGTCAGGCCTCGCGGCTCGCAAACATTAAAACAAATCATCCTTGAAAAGGTAGAGAGCCAGTTGCCTGATGCGTAAGGCGTTGTCTTGCAGAATTTTACTTGGTGGCTCGACTCCACCCTGGTTCGTTTGCTTGGATTGTTTGTTTGCCTGTCCTGGCTGGTTTGTGTTCTTTTTTTTGCAACGATTGTTTGCGATTTGTGTGAGAGTTTTTTCTTTTGGGTGCTGCAGTTGTATTGCTCAGTAAACTCTTACTTGATACATAGGCGGCCGTAGGCGCATCAGACTTCATTCAAGTGAAGTTGGCTGGATTGCGTGCATGGAAGCCCCATTGAAGCCCCTTGCAATCAGACTCAATTAGAACCGCAGGGCAGGATCGGCATTAGGAGTGTTTGGTCTCAGTGTCTTAGCAATCTTGTCTCAGTGTCCAGTAGATGTCCTTCCTCAGTTTTGTTGTTGTTGTTGTGCCTAGGAGTTCACACCCGGGAACAATGACATTGACGATGACGATGAAGTCAACCTGCCTGTACCTTAGCCTCAAAGGAGGGTAGATCAATACCTTCTGCTTGTGGTAAACGTCCGATATTTTTTTGCTGACATGCCGTTGATGTTTGGCATGTGAAGTCTTCGCCCGATGTGAGGACCTTGCTGCGTGAGAATGGCCAGGTGAAGGTAATGATCATGTACTCCTCAGAGATTCAGGACAAATCATCACAGCTTCAACTCTCTGTGACCTTCATCATTCATCCAGTCTCATCTTCCGTGGGCATAGGATGAACAATGCAATCGAATGCAATCTTCTGTGTTCGGTGTGAGTTGAATTCACAATGATTCAGGATCTCAAAGGGGCCCTGGAATGTGTGCACACGCGGTTGCCTTAGATATTCACTTTCAGAATTTTTGAGCGCTTCGCTTCGCACAAGGAAAGCCACGTAAGAACAGAAGGGATTTGGTTTAGCACGGTGGCCGTGAAAGAGCTAAGAGACCAGGAACCATAGAAAGTCGAAAGTAGCAGCATCCCAGAAGTGACTTTCCAAGGTTTGTGGAAGAGCTAGCTGCTGCGTATGCACCTTTTGTGACCCAAACTGCACAGGCCGCGACCCGTGAAGCTTTTCAGCTATGAGCAACCAGAAAGGCCCCGCTGGAAACCAGGCACTACTTCCAGTCTTCGACTTCACCATGGAGGATGGCATAAGGCCGGCACCGAGTTTGCCAGATCTGAGTGTATATGGGAACAGGGGTCTTTGCCCCCGGCCAAGTGGATGTTGTTCTACTTTCTTTTTTCCCGTTTTTTTGGGGGTCTTCCAGTCCTTGCTACAGTGATGTGTTCCACGTGCAGCTCCGGCTGGAGACGGTTCGTGCTCTCAGGGACCTGGCCTTTGAAACCTGGGGCCAGCTCTGCCGCAGTGCTCGCCAGGGTGGACAGGCATGGCACGACGCCGAATAGGGACCCCACCGCGTTTTGACCCATTTCAATGCGTGGGGGCGGAAGCGCTGTGTTTAGGGGGCGGAAGCGCCGTGTTTAGCACCTTTGGACTGGTTCATTTGCCAGTGGCCAACCCAAAGTCAGAAAGGTGGAACATTTAGCAGCCATGTTTCTTTGGAGCTTCAGCAAGTCAGACTGCAGCAACCTCGTTTCGAGCCGCCGATCCTTTCCAGAAGTTGCCGTGGGACTGAACTGTCGAGTCCTGCACAGGTACAGATCGTGAGTGAGCTTGTGATGGAGTTCCTCAAGAGGGTCCTACCCAAATTTGAGGCTGCCAAGGCAAGGATGACGCCAGCTATTTCTCCGGTTTGACATTTCACTTCAGGGTAAAGGGTTCGCAAGGGCCGAACGTGTCACGTTTGAAGCATCATTCGCACAGTTGACACGTGAAATGGGATACATCTGCGTTTTGCAAGGAGGCCCCGATAGACGGGGTCAGTGACCTAATGCTCACTGGCCCAAGAGGCATGAATCCACATGGCAAATGCGACAAGGCCTTCTATCCACATGAGCCACAAAGCAACCACTCAAAGGGAGTACACATATATATATATATATGGCCACAGCTAGACGGCTCAAGCCATGTTGGATCAGCAATGGATATTATAACGGTTGCAGGTGCCGTTCTCACCCAGCTTCATGAAGAAGAATTGGGCTGCATGGTGGAGAGTGGAAAATATGTTAGAGATTTAAAGACGCTCATTGCCACAAAGATTGGATGTTCAAGATTTCGACTTAGGCTCTTGAGCACAGAGATGGGCGAACTACAGGATGATATGCCTGTCAGACCACTACCAAGTTTGCAGTTAGTAATCTTGGACTACCATGCGCCTGAGGAGGCCAATTGGCACGCACTACGCTTTGCATGTGAGAACAATCAAGTTGTCGAAGTTACAAGTTTGCTTCAGAAACCACTGAATCCTAATGGGACAGGTGCAGACATTGACCTTCCTGCACCTATGCTTTTTGCTGCAGAACGGGGCCATTTGGAGGTGGTGCGGCTGTTGCTCGAGGCCGGAGCTGACCAGAACACAGCTGATCAAGACGGGGCAAGTGCCTTGATGGTTGCAGCTGAGAATGGCCACTTGGAAGTGGTGCGGGTGTTGCTCGAGGCTGGAGCTGACC